TCCAACTCTCTGATACATAACAAGCGATTTCAAATACCATGGCCTGTATCAGGCACACCTTAGTCTCCAGAGAGACACTGTTGCTCTTGAGTACTTTAGAGAGGTCTCTAACCGCAGACTTTTCCATCGCAATATATTTTATTATTTCCTGGCTGCTGGTGCCAAGAGTGTTGACCGTGGAGCCAAACAAACTGAAGCTGTGAACAATCTCAATATCTTCACCATCCATCCTGATGCTACCCATTGGTCTAGTGCTGAGAATTTTTGTCTTCTTGACATTAAGCCTCAGTCCATACTGAAGGTGCAGTCCTTAACCCTCTGCAGTAAGTGCATGAGTTCCTCCTCAGTTTCAGCGAGCAGGGTTGTGTCTCTGCATAACGCAGATTGTTGATAGATCTTCCACCAATCCTAACGCCACGCTTCTCCTCATAGAGCCCAACCACTCGGATAATCTGCTCTGCATACAGGTTGAAAAGGTATGGAGACAGGATGCATCCCTGGCGTACACCCTTCCCAATTTTGAACCATACAGTGTTGCCCTGCTCTGTTCTGATGACTTCCTCTTGGTCCAAGTATAGGTTTTGCATTAGCACAATTAAATGTTCTGGGATTCCCATTCTTCTCAGAGTCAGCCACAGTTTGTTATGATCCATGCAGTCAAATGCCTTTGCATAATCAATGAAACACAGATAGACATTCTTCTGGTATTCTCTGCTTTCAGTTAAGATCCATTTGACATCAGCTAAAATATCCCTAGTACCACGATCCCTTCTAAACCCAGCCTGGACTTCTGGAAGTTCTCTGCTGATGTACGGTTCCAGTCATTTTTGGATAATCTTCAGTAGAATCTTGCTTGCATGTGAAATCAATGATTTTGTTCTGTAGTTTCCACACTCAGTTGGATCGCCCTTCTTTGGGATGTGAACAAATATAGACCTCTTCCAGTCAGTTGGCCAAGTGGTTGTTCTCCAGATTTCTTGGCACAACTTGGTGAGCACATCCACGGCAGCATCTGTTAGCTGAAATATGTCAACTGGTATACCATCTATCCCGGGGGCCTTATTTTTTGCTATTTCTTTCAAAGCAGCTTGAACTTCTGCCTCCATCACCATAGGCTCTGGCTCAAATGCTATTTCATTAAATTCTTCTGTATCTGCCAATTCCTTTCGATACAATGACTCAGTATATTCCGTCCATCTTCTTTTGATACCTCCTGGATCATTTAACATTCTGCCTAAAGCATCCTTGATTGTAGCAACTTGAGGTTTGAATTTGTTCTTCAGTTCCTTGAGCTTAAGAAATGCTGAACGAGTTCGGCCCTTTTGATTTTCCGACTCTAGCTCCTCGCATCTTTCATTGTAATATTTTGCTTTGTCATTCCATGCTGCCTTTTGGAATCTTCTGTTCAGCTCTTTAGTGTCTTGGATTCTTCCTTGTGCTTAGCATCATATATTCTTTATTTTTTTACATTTGTAAAATATACATTATATATTCTTGATTTAACATCATTATCCTACTACAGGAACTCTGGTGGCCTAGCGGCAAGAAGATGCACTACAATCGCGAAGTGGGTTTGAGGCCACCAGCTGCTTCTTGGAATAATGTTGGGCAATCTCCTGCAGTGCAATTTCCAGCCTCTGAAAACTCACAGGAGGGTCTGTTAGGGGTTGGCTCCGACTCAATGGTACACACCAACAACAATGATATTGAAGAGGCAAGGTTAGTGGCAGTTATGTTAATTATAGGATGCACACTACAAAATTATATTGTAAATTGAGTCAATCTTTTTTTTAACGATGCAAAATGTATTGACCAAGTATTTAGAGACCAGGAAGAATCTCAGCATCACCACAAAGAAGTCAAGAATGCTGTATATTCTTTAGGACATACAGTCCCTGTGTGGTCAACCTCAAAGGCCCAGGAAAATACTGATGTCAAGACATGGAAATCTCAAAGGAATGCTGGGCCTATAGCCACTCAAAGGAGACAAGGACCTTTATCCAGAATCTACAAAGTAAGAATTTCCCTTAAACTATCATCCTCAATTCTAGCTTCCTAAAGAGCGACAATGAGGGAAGAAATTTTATACTACATAAAGCCATCCACTTGTATGTCTTTGTTGTATTCCATTAGGTTGTCATAAGCCAGAATTGTCCTAATGACAACCTACAAAAAAATATGGATATGAGGCGCTCCTCCAAATACCCCAGTAGGTTTCTAGTTACTATACTAGCACTTTCTACTTCTTTGCAAAGTGAACCTTGTTAATCTCTTAATCATAAGACTTAAAAAAATACCCCCTCAAACTCATTGCTGTTGAGTTAAAACCAACTCCAGCAGTTTTCCAGAAGCTGTAATTCTCAAGGAAGGGGACTGCCTGAGACTGCTCATCTGTTTCCCATGGAGTGCCTGGTGGATTCAAACCACCTGCCTTCGGAATATGATTCAACAGAGCTCCCTATCCATGATACAGGCCATTAGTAAATGCCTCCATGCTATCTGTTCCATCATCCTTCATTATGAACTGGACGAGCGGCTAACATTTTCAATATACAAAGCCTGTCTCTAACCAGGAAATCAGAATTGGCTATTATGACTCAGTACCTGGTGGGCTGGGAAGGATACAAGATAAAAACACATCTAAGCACATTAAATTGATGGACACATTGTGGGATTATTATCTCACAAAATTTAACAAATGCTGTAGGAGAAAAGAAGACTATTAGGAACTCTACTCTTGAACTTGAAGTTTGCAGGAAGAAGATCTGGCACACATATACAAAATCCATTTACCACATACCTTGGGTACAAAAGATCCCCATTAGTGACTGTTCCCTACATTTATTCACTCTGGCTTCCCCACTCCACCCACTTTCCTACTGCATCCCAGTTTCCAATCCTCTGCTTTCCATTCCTAACTGGATCCCTTGACTTATGTACTTTCTTAGCTGTAACTTCTCTGCCTATATCTTGGCTGCCCTTGACCCCTATTTTTGTATAGCAATTGTTCCTATACTTAAATACAATTTTAAAAAACAAATCAAAAAACAACAAAACTTACCTCCAACATCTCTAGCTAAGGTCCTGATTTCCTGTTTCTGCTGTTTGCTTCCTATTTCCATTTGGATAGCTGGTCATCACTTCAAGTCCAGCATATCCAAAATTCAACTTTCCATCTTTGCTGATTATCTGATAATTCTTCTGTGATCATTTTCACTAGAGGCGTCTCCCATCTCTGAGTAAGTTAAGTTTGAGACTCGGGTCATCTTTGACACTGTGTTCTTATTCTTTTCATCTGATTAGTTATCTAGTTCCAACAGTGCTGTAAATGTACAGGCCCTGTATGCAGTGACATCTAGCTCTCCATTGTTCTTATCAATCTTTACCATCTGTAATTTTTTTGTTGCAAGAGCTCATCTCTAATATTACCAATTCTCTCACCACTGATACTTTACAGTTTGCCAGTTAAGTCCCTTCCAAGAACCACCTGTATGTAACCTCATAGTTCAGAATTATAGAAAGCTAATTACTTTCTAAAATTTTACTACTACCAATTAAAACTACAGGGAGCTCTGGTAGCCTAGTAGCAAAAAGCTGTACTGCAATCCTGAAAGCACGCGGGTGTGAGGTCACCAGCTGCTTTGCAGAAGAAGGATGGGCAATCTCCTTCCATACAACTAACTGCCTCTGTTTAAACTAATCCTCCAGCTCTGACAACATTTCTTCCATGATTTTGATTGTTGTTGTTATGTGCCATCGAGTCACTTGCGACTCATAGTGACCCTATGTACAAGAGCACTATACACTCTTCTGTCCTGTGACAACCTAACCATTTCAAACGCACTTATTCCCACCACTCCAGTCACAGAATCAATCTCATC